CAAGGCCGACTTATAAGAAAAGAGAGGGAGAAAGAAAGAAACAAAATATGTAAAAGTAACTTCCAAGAAATGAGAAGGGGAAAACAGACATTAAATATTAGCATCACTTTGTTTTAACAGTTTTTTCCTACTTGAACATAGCCAAAAAAATAAATTTGAAACACCCTAGACATACATGGTTTCACTGGAATAATTCAGGACAGATTCCAATTGACAATTGTAAAAGTAAAACTACTCTGGGGCCAACATATTTTGTTGATATCTCACATGAACAATGTTTTCCTTACCTAAATTGTTATAGGCGATATAACTTTAACAAGTATTACATTTTGCTGTTTTACATTTCATTAAATAAATTGCTCCCAAGACAGTCAAGGCAAGCTCGCATGAAAGAACAAAGCTTACCTTCAGATTGTTGAGATAATATTGCAGCATATTTATCTTTCCTAGCCCTTTGATCTTCCACAATTCTTCTAAGTTCTTCTACTCTAGTTTTTGTTGCAGCTATGGAGTCCACTGTGACCAGCCGCTTTGTCTCTTTATGGGTTTTCACTTCAGATGCATAAAAAAAATAGTAAGGAACACAGAAGTACCAAAGATATGAGGAAAATAGAGGAAACAAAGTTGCTGCTAGCTGGACAGAGAGAAATTCTTACATCTTTTGAAACGAATCAATTTCACATGACATTTTCCACCAACCCAAATGAAACAATGAAGACTAAATTTCAGTTCCCATAAGCAAATTTCACCAAATGCAAATCAACACCAACAACAAGAGATACCTGCAAGAGCTTTCACCAAATCATCCTCCGCATCTCTCAGATGAGCTTTTAGTTTCCCTAGTTTCACTGTAGTAACAAAAGTAAAATAAAAAATTCAGATTTTTTGCAACTTTCCTGCAAAACATAAATTAGTAAATTCACTGCTGAAGAAGTAACAGTAGCCTAGTTTTTGTCATCAACAATGTAGGGTAACTACTAAAACATTCAGACCCACACGCAATTGAATATAGCTCTCACTAAACCCTAGCTCCACACGAATCAGTAAATTATCTCATATTATCAGAAACCATTATAAAACCCTATATTTAAAAAGGGAAAAAGAGTAATCATTCAAAATTGAACGGAAACTACCTTGGTTTTGAACAGTTTGTTCTGATTTGGCCTTAGTAGATTCAAGCGAATTTGAAAAGGAGAGCATAGCGGATTCCATTCTCTGCTGCTGAATCGGAATTTCTCTGTCGCATATCAATCTAAGTTCCTCCATTTTCGTCCGAACAGAATCGTCTACTCTGCCCTGCATCTTAATTCAACTGTGTGTGTGTGAGAGAGAGAGACAGAGAGACAAAGAGGTGACTGTTTTGAATGAGAACTCAAAAGAGAGTGGAATTTGCTTAGCCCGCCATTTTTCTCTTTCGTTCTCTTTCCCTTTTTTTTTTTTTTTTTTTTTTTTTTTT